GGGGGGCTGTGGAAAGCCCTCACAGCCTCATGGTCAGCCTCCGCCAAGGGCAACAGGGACTCGCTTCCCTTTTCCCATCCTCCCGGCACCTGGCAGAGATCCTAAAAAAACCCAGCCCACCCCAAGGGAGAAGCAACGCTTGATCCTCAGCATGATCCGGTCAGGCGCTCCCCTCCCAGGGCAGGACCCCGAAGCTGGCGGGGGGGTGGATCCTGGCGGGCTGGCGGAGCATTTCTCCGTCCGTCTCCTTGGAAAAGTCCCGAAAAGCTCTCTGACTGCTTCCGTTTCAAAGCCACATCTGCTTTTTTTTGGGAGCCACGCTGGGTCAGCTCGGGTGAAGGGCCAACACGTCGCGGCAAGGCACCAGCGTGGGCTGCCCCAAATTCCGCAGCGATCACAACTTTCAAGCAAATTTGAGGCTTTCCCCCCAAGGCAGCAGCCTGCAGTTCGGGGGGACCCTCTCCCTTCTGACCTCCTGCCGGCCCGCGGTGTCGGGCGGTGCATGCCACCAGGTGGAGCTGGCAGACCGTCCCAGTATCACCCTGCATCCCACGAGCATCACGAGTATCCCCCCAGTATCTCCTGGCATCCCCCAGCATCCTCCCAGTACTGCCCAACAACCCCTGAGCATCCCCCCGAGACACCTGAGCACTGCTCGAGCCCCAAGAGCATCACTGGAGCATCACCCAGTATCGCCCCAGCATCACCTGGCATCACCTGAGCATCGCTTGAGCCCCAAGAGCATCACTGGACCATCACCCAGAATCCCCCCAGCATCACCTGAGCATCATGTACATCAGCCAAGCAAGCCCCCAGGCCTGCCTGAGCATTGCTGGACCATGGCTCAGCATGGCCAAACATCAGCCAGCGTCCTCCCAGCATGGCCAAACGTCACCCAGCATGGCCAAATGTCACCCAGCATCTCTGAAGCATGGCCAAACGTCACCCAGTGCCCTCTCAGCATGGCCAAATGTCACCCAGCGTCTCCCAGCATGGCCAAACATCAGCCAGCATCTCCCAGCATGGCCAAATATCACCCAGCATCATCCCAGCACGGCCAAATGCCACCCAGCATCCTCTCAGCATGGCCAAACGTCACCCAGCATCCTCCCAGCATGGCCAAACATCACCCAGCATCTCCCAGTATGGCCAAACGTCACCCAGCATCCTCCCAGCATGGCCAAACGTCACCCAGCATCCTCCCAGCATGGCCAAATGCCACCCAGCATCTCCCAGCATGGCCAAACGTCACCCAGCACCTCCCAGCACGGCCAAACGTCACCCAGCACCTCCCGAGCAGGGCCCAGCATCCCCCCAGCCCGCAGATGGACCTACTGCGGCAGGATCTCGTGCCTGTTCTTCTGTGTCAGGAGTCAGCAGACCAGCAGAGCAGAAAGGGAGGAAGAGCGCGTGGAGATAAGATAAAAGCCTCATCCACAGCAGGGGAAGCGGGGCAGATAACGGGGGAGGCTTGCGAGGGCAGATAAGGGCGCCGAGCGCGGTGGCTCGGCGTAGCAGCGCGGGCTGCACCCGGCTGCCCTTCCTTCAGGCCCCGTTTCTTTTCCAAACTCCAACAGCTTCTCCCTTCCCAGGCAGGGTGCTGCTCCCCGGGGGTTCCTCCGGAAACCTCTTCGGAA